GGAAGAGAGAAAGGGGAAAGCATAGTCCCTGTGATAAATGGCCTGAACACCTGGAAGGCCAGAGTTGTCATCTATTCAAATGAGAAAGCTACAGATGGGGTAGTAGAAATGAGAATAAGATATTAGAGCATCCTCTTCTCTGTAAGGAAATGGTTTTTAAGAAGAGGAACAACAACAAAATTATAAGGAAATTGTTTCCTTGTGGGTTCATGTCAATGGCCTGTTTTATATGTAGTCAGTAGTGAAAAGGGATGGTAACTTCATATGGAAATGGAAAATCAAGAACTAGAGAAAAACTAAACATTCCAAATAATCTCTTTTTATTATTATTATTACCTCATTTATTTAAATCCTTCTTGAAGTTGGGCCCATACATGTAATCCCAGCAACTCTGAAGAATTAGACAGGAGGATTGCAAATTCAAGGCCAGCCTGGGCAATTTAGTAAGACTGTGTGAAAACAAAATATAAAAAGGGTTAAGGATGTAGCTTAGGGGTAAAGTACTCCTGAGTTCATCCCTAGTACTGCCAATAAACAAACAAATAAATCCTTTATTATTTTTTCTTTTGCCTTGAATGTATTTTGTAAATTTGCTGCCTTGGTGGTGTACATGTGTAAGCCCAGCTACTCAGGAGGCTGAGGCAGGAGGACTGTAAGTTTGAGGCCAGCCTTGGCAATTTAGTGAAACTGTCTCAAAATTTAAAAATGAATAAATAAAAATGAAAAGGGCTGGAGATGTAGCTCACTGTTACAGTAGGCCTGGGTTCAATTTTTAGTACCACAAAAACCAGAAAATATCAACAACTGTAAGGGGGGTCCGGCGGAGCGTCGGAGGGAGAGACCACACAAGAGACTTACTCCATGCAATTGGCAAAAGGGGACATTTATTGGGATCCATTCCAGTGCGCTGGGGCTCCGTGCTTACTCAAGAAGGGAGAGCAGCCCAGAGCCCAGAGCAAATGTCAAGCAGAGCTTAAGTACACTTTTTGGGGAGGGGGGGAGGCTTTGCATACATCAGAACAAATCATCATGAGGCGCAGGGAAATTGAACAACAACTCTGAGACGTGATTGGCACATTCATTGGTGGGAACAGATCGGGAGGGGGTGATTGGTCATTCCTAAGCGGGTTACACATTCAAACTGATTGGTCCGGGCCATGTGAGGAACTGCACAGGGCCCTAGGCTAAATG